CAATTAAAAAGCACTGTTCTGAATGGCTGGAATTTAATCACGCTTAAAATCTATTTTAATCGCGATTAAAAACCACTGTTCTGATTTGCTGGAGTTCAATCGCGCTTAAAATACATTTTAAGCGTGATTAAAATAGGTAGGTTTTGGAGGTAATGGCTTTCCATAGTAAGGCCCCAGTGGACCGGCGGTGCGTAGATAGATATCACCAGAAGTAGATAATAGGGTTCCCTATTAGTAGTTCCCTATTATCAAGAGCGTATAAAGAAGGAGAGCGTACAAGGGTAAAATGCTGAAACCATGCTGCAGTATTAGTCGAATTAATAAACTTTTCCCGTTTTATTTTGACGATCCTTTGCAGTATTATTGATTAGCTGTCTTACTTGTTCATATAAAACAAACGCATGTCCCTACGATGCCCCTACGCTGAGATAAGAGCGGTGAAAATCTGGTATTTTCGCCGAAAACCGACTCGAGATCAGTGTGACATGCGTCCTCACTCGAAGTGTTATAACTTCGGGAAACCTCGGTGTTTCCGTCAATGATGGACAAATGGAATGAATGACGTCTGTTATTGATTGCCATAGTGATGACCCCCACCTGTGCCCACCTCACGCCCACCTCACGCTGGTGTTATAGTAAACTCTGGTAGTATTACGTGAGTCAGCGCCACTATGGCGCTACACAGCGGCGACCGGAAGCCAACACACTGGAAACACTTCGAGTGAGGGACGCCAGTCACACTAATCTCGAGTCAGTTTCGGTGAAAATACCAGATTTTCACGCTCATTATCTCAGCGTAGGGGCATCGTGGGGACATGCGGTTTGTTTTATATGAACAGAGTAAGACAGCTAATCAATAATACTGCAAAGGATCGTCAAATAAAACGGAGAAAGTTTATTAATTCGACTAATACTGCAGCATGGCTTCAGCATTTTACCTTGTACGCTCTCCTTCTTTATCTTGCTCTTGCTATTATCTACTTCTGATATCACCAAGCATCACCGCTCACCTCCTCAATGAGTGCTCACCGTGTTCCTGTCATGTTATCGCGCTTAGAAAGTAAAATACGCAATACCCGTGGATGATGTACGAGGAATATACACCCCCCCCCACACACACACACGCCCACTCACAATCACACCACGCACACACACGCGCGCGCACACACACACATACACATACACACACACACACACACACGCACACGCACACGCACGTACACTCACACTCACACCACGCACACTCACACGCACACGCCCACTGACACTCATACCACGCACACTCACACTCACGCGCACGCGCACACGCACACGCACACACGCCACGCCACGAACGCACACACACACACACACACACACACACACACACACACACACACACACACACACACACGCCCGCACGCCCGCACGCTCACAAACCACATCCAGTATGCCTGTGGGGAATGTAGCATCACGCAATATAGTACCTACTTAATTGAAACTGACTGCAGTTATTCCGACCAAGTCCTAATTCAAGGCCGCCGATCACGTAGAGTCCACATTTTGTATTCAACACACGTATGACTCTAGATATTAGATACTAGCGGGTAACTATGTGTACTGCGCCCCTTACCAAAATAATCTATAGGTTCCTATGGGAGTTTATAGAGACCTATAGAGCTTCTATATGTGCTCTGTAGGTTTTGACAACCTATACACCTATAGGCTTATAGACCTATAGGTGCTCTGTAGGTTTTGACAACCTATACACCTATAGGCTTATAGACCTATAGATTCCTATAGACCAGTATATAGCAATTAATCTATTGGCTTACAGACCTATTAGGGATTCCTATAAAATGCTGGAATGTTGTAGTTTGGTTAGGTCAGGAATAACATTGCAGCAACGTTCTAGAAACGTACCATGCGAACGTTCGCGCAAATACAGCGTCAGACACCCAGCCATATATAACATAACATATAAATATAAGCGAGACGTAATATTTATGTTTGCAGCTAGAGCTCGCCGCAAAACTACTCACTATAGCTACCAAACAGCTCGTCGCCGAACATACCAGGTATTTACTGCGGTTCTCACCTCTCTGGTGCGCGAGATTTATCTCCTGGCCTTTTGCAGCTAACTTGCCACGCGGGGCAGCACTTCCTGTCACTGCAAAATTATTAACCTATAGGGCGTACAATCCTAAGCGCGTATAACGCACCGTATTCTGTATCCCGCACACGTATACAACTATTATTTGATGTGCCGTATAATATCGGCTAACAGTGAAGAATAACAGACGTGGAATCATGTGCAGAACGGGCTATAGTTATTGCAGCGGCCTCATTGGCTGATATAAATGCATTAAAAATGAATTTTAAACAAATCCAAACCAAGGAGGCGTTTGTAGAAATATACATTTAATATCGCTTCTAGATCAAAACCAGTGTGGAGTTGTCCTGGGCTCATGAGAAGGCGTATAATTCATTTGGTAACAACTGATGCGAAAACGTGGAAGGAGTTGATGAGGAAACAATCGCATATCAAATTTGACTAGCTATTATATGCAAACAAAACAATCTATAGGGCCCACTATAAAATGCGCGCTGTTGGATGCCGCAATTAATTATATGCAATGAAATTATTCACATGAATGATTACAAGCAGCGAAAATGTCAGAGCCATCATTGCTTGACTAGTAGACGTAGACACCAAATTAAAAGCAGTAAATTCACTATGAACACTATCGCTCATTACTAACGATAGAAAAGCAACACGCGGCACGGTTTAATTCGACATGATTCTAAAAAACATGCTCGTCAGTACGTCGTTAAATTGTCGCTCTATAACGTTAATAACAGGCATTCGTGATGAAAACACTTCGGAATCAGAGATAATTCGCTGGGAGAACCTCACTAATAGGATATACTTGCCACGACGAGCGGATGATTAGTATTGATTACTTGCAATAACCTTCTCCGTGAATATATATATATATATATGTATATATATATATTATATATAACACACGCACTCACGTATGACGAAAGCAGTGATTTATTTAAATCATTCTGTTGCTATTTTGAACGGAGTTTATTTTTTAGGCTGTATTAAATAGACCGCTATATACACTGTATTATATCCAGAGAGACATGATACAAGATTGCGTGGCACAGCTTTGCTGTTGATCCTAAGCGCTGCGCACGGATGAGACGCGCAATTCCGCGGGATATGCGCACGCGACCGCGGGGATGTTCAAGTATGAAGCGCAATCGGAAAACCCATTCGACTCTTCCCGTCATGGCTAGAAAAGAGTATTCTGTTGAATGGTCCGAGGGTTCCCGATTGGTATGAAGCGCTGTCCGCAGTGGAGACGTGCGCCAAATTCGAGGCCCGGCGCACGTCTCCACAGCGGTCAGCGGATGGTCTGTAATTTTAGAAGATGACAATGATTATATATGTACGATATTCTAGGAATTGGAGATTATAAAACAGTAACAAAAATCGCTCAGTCATGCTCCAGATTAGCTGAATCAAAAAGATTAGAATTTAATATGAACAAAACAAATACAATGGTTATAAAATTCACAAACAAAGAAATGATAGAGAAGGAGACCAAGGCAACCAAGGCAATAGGCAACCAAGCCAATAGGCAACCAAGTAATCAAAAAATGCACCAAATATTCATACCTAGGGGATTTAATTAATGATATAGGAGGTTATAACGATATGATAAGAGTCCGAACTGAAAAATGTTGATGATGAGCCGTTTCAAGATGAGTGAAATAATATTATTATCATGGGCAGAAGAGCAAAATTATGGAAATCATACTATAGAAACAAGAGTGAAATTATACAAATGCACAGTTTTACCATCCTTCGTAAATAACAGTGAAACATGGACTAACTTAACTAAGGAAGAAGTAAAAATGTTGCAGGATTTCCAAAATGAGTGCCTGCGCAGAATAATAATCACGCAGAAAACGCAAAAAAATATACGGAAAGGCATTGAAAGACGATGAAAATTCCAAGGAAAGATACGAGGAAATCAGTAAAAATAACGTATAGTTTCTATACGTATATCGTGGTAAATACATTAAAAACGCATTATTTTATTGAAAATCCCCATATTTACTTATAAAACATTCAAGAGATGGCGCTGTGGCATGTAAACATTGGCTGTATTTTGATGAAAAATGTTCAATAAATGACGCACTCGTTCACTTCCGACAGCGAGTGAAAATGCGGAAAATTTTCCTCTTCGATGCGAAATGCATCGGCCGGGCATTTCATTATTTACGAAAAGTAAATAGGCCGGCGAAAAACGGTAGGTACAGGAACCGGTAACGTCGGTCACGCCCCATTCATGCCCATCAACGAAGAAGGCGGGGCTTATTCCGATTACGGAGATGCGAAAATTCAACAGAAGGACGTAGCGCAGTGCGCTAAACAGCGTGTTATTTTCGTTTTTGTGCCAAACTCTATCGTAGGAAACCGTTCTAGCCTAGCAGAATGCCCTAGTTCCTGAGATCGGCGATTCCATGCTGTTATGGGTCCCCACCTATAAAAATATCAAACAGAGGTGCGGCGTAGGCTGTGATTGGAAGACACAAAGTGTGAATCCTCGGCAAGCCTCGGCCCATAAACCCCCCCCCCCCTCGCCCGGCCCGGCCTCGGCGAGTGGGGGGGAGCATAATGCAAATTATTGCACTCTAGTGCCGAATTTCTGCGAAAAAAAATGCTAAAAAAGGCATTTTCCAGAAACGATATAGTGCAATGGTGAACAATTGCGGAGGCTTACTGTTGTATGCCTCCTACATAATAGTACATTATTATATTATGTTATTATATTATATATTTATATTATATTATTATATTATATATCATTATTATATTATTATAATAGTACATTATCTCTATTGTGTATCTTGATTATATCGATGACATCTATTTGATATCTACAAGCGTGGGTATGTGATGACTCGTATACGCACTCAATACCACCACGTATACAACAGGATTTTCTTTTTACATAACAGTTTTTATTGATAAAATACTATGTTTAATACAAATTTGACACCAGATAGCACAGAAAATGTGCTTTTTATTAGTGCCGCGCTGTAAACAGGAGTATATGTCTTTACAGGGCTACATTTCCACATAGAAAACCACACATCGATTACACGCGTGCATACGTAGAGCTGCATCAAGTCGCGACGGTTACAAAGTCTCTTATATGGGTATATATATATAATACAGAATATAAAGGATTTAATTATTATTAATAATCATACACATAACTACAAATGCTGCTAGCGTGGGGCGAGGGTCGCACTGGAGGGGGAGAACACGTACTTAAAAACAATATATAAATATGACACGTATATACCAGAAACTCACTAATTATCTATTAACATCTCGCACACAAGACGCCGATTTAATCTTGTAATTTGATGCTACTGATATACTAGGGACAGACCCGCTGGACCTCCACACACGGCTGTTGTACATCCACTGACAGTAACATAGACCTCCACACACGGCTGCTGTACACCTACTGACAGTAACATAGACCTCCACACACGGCTGCTGTACACCTACTGACAGTAACATAGACCTCCACACCTTGCTGTTGTACATCTACTGACAGTAACATAGACCTCCACACACGGCTGCTGTACCATCACCTCAACTGTAGGTATGAAACCATCGGTCATTTGATAACCATGTCACTCTGGCCCCTCTCCACCCCCCTCCCCAGTGTAGCTAAAACGCATCCAAGGTCTTTCGCAATCCCCAATGGTTATAAAGAGTTATCCATTGCTGTTCACATGCACATTAGGAACAACATCGCGGCGATAGAAAACCACTGCACTTGTATTGGGGACCCTGATAAAAATTGGCCTCGTTTGCAAAAATAGCAATAGCTACAACGACGATGCCCCAGCTATAGGTAAACGAAACTGGTTTTATCATGATTGCATCACGGGAGGAGGCTATGAGTATTATATACAAGGCAGAACGCGCTGCCACTGCTACTGGGTTTTCAACCCTTTCGGCAACCTTGAATCCGAGATTGCTGTGACAACTAGATTCTTCCTTAGTCCGACGGTTCTCTAGCAAATGCATATTGGGGTGAAATCACCAACAACCTGTGAAAACACATGCAAAAATCTATCATTCAACGCCATAGATCAGAACAGCTTCGGCAAAGCAGAATCGGTCGCAATTATACATGCGAATAGAAATGAGAAGATTATGAAACGAATCTCGTGAAATCATATACTAGTATATCATGAACATGAACAAGACGTATATAAATATAATCGCACCAGCACACTTATCAGTCGGTTGTTTAAGATTAGGCACAGTTGGTCATAAGTTTAAAAATCGACATGAAATGGTTATACGCATGTAGCCGAGAAATTATGCAACAATGACAGAGATTTTGGAATGCATGAATCCGCGCAACAACAGACGCACTGAGGAGTAACGGTGTACGAAAACGTCGGAAGCCCGCTTGCTGAAACCCCCGTGGTGGCCACGCAACACTGCAACATGCTAATGCACTCACAGGACAAGATCTGCTTAAAATTCACACCGACAAAAGTGATATTATTCTCGTAATCGGTGCGCGTTACTAAACATTCAGTGCCATCCCATGTTGTAACAGCCGCTCTAATGAAGCCCAAGTGTGGCACTGATCGCTCAGCAGGGAAGGTATCCCGCATGGTAATTATTCACGCTCAGAATTAATCGCACGCGGAGATAATTAAAATGCAAATAGTAATTGGGATGATGACATTGGTTGCCGAACGTACTATCGGCTCAGCCGGCAATGCTGCGGCCGTTGCTCTGATTGAAGCATCCGTGTGTGAATGCGTACGAGCAGTCGCCTGGTGACTCGTGCCACAGAAGACATCACGGACGACATCACTGACAGCGTTATGCATCATGTCACAGATGACGCCGTGGATGAAATCACAGATGATGTCACGGATGTCACAGATGGCATCACAGATGTCAAGGACGTCACGGATGATGTCACAAGTGATGTCACGATCGACGCTACAGACAATGTTATGTCCTAGATGTTACAGATAATGTTACGGACATCACTGACGCTGTCATGCCATGGGCATCATGGATGACCTCACGGATGACAACATGGATATCACAGATATCACGGATGGCGTGGACGAAGTCACGGGCACCATGGACGATAGCACAGATTATGTTACAGATGGCATCACGGACTGAGTCACAGACGACGTCAGACATCACGGACGACATTATGTTCGATTCGGTCACACAAGCCTTGGTGAGGATGCTGGTGCGTGACGTACGATGAGTCTGTATCACCTTGGTGACACAAGGATGAACATCACGTGCAGACGGGAGTAAGACGCGGCGACGTGCACTCGTTACAACTGAATCACAACAAAAGTACCGGCGTATCTTCGAATGGATTCAGATGTACACGGATTTACTCATGTGCCATTAAATGTTCTCAGGTGTATCAGAATGTTCTCAAGTGTCTTAACGTCTACTCAGGGGCACCCAATTGCACTCAAGTTTCCTGAAATGTACTCAGGTGTTCCTACTTGTACTCAATTATCTTCAAATGTACCCAGGTCTACCTGATTTCACTCAAGTATGTTCAAATGTACTCAGGTGCACCTGAATTCACTCAAGTGTTTTCGAATGTGCTAAGATGCACCTAAATTTACTCAAGTCAGTGTATTAGAATGTACTTAGGATCAATGTCTCTCCTACAACCATTTAAAAAACAAACATTATAGAACTGTTGACATGCCGTCGGCATAACATGTTCGAGCTAAATATCTACACAAGTGCGACTAACATCTTAGCCACTCCATAATCATTAGGCTCATACAGTATGAGCCAACGTGCCCAGCACAGTGAGTCTGATAGCAACTCATGAAAAAGCATGTACAAGAATAATCTATTAGAAACAACTCCCATTACGGTCTTGTGAGGTTTGGCAAAAGGTGGAGGTTGTACAAATAATATTCAATGAGAATCATTCACTGTGGCAAGCCAGATTCACTCAGCATGACTCTCATCGATCAGCTATGCAACGTGCCTAAACAGTCACATTTAATTAATTATCTGTATATAAAAGATGACAGCACTTCACTACACTGACACTGTACCTTAACAATAGGGCAAAGTTATGCAGAACAACAACCAACATGAAAGGCGACCAATGTCAGGACATTCCAGATAAAAAATATCTCCCATCACGAACAATTAAAAAAACACCCATCAAAACCATCGTTATAAAACCCAGATTCACCTCTCCTACGACTGGAACTGATATATGATGTGGCCAGCATTTCTATCTTCTGCCTCATTCTTGAACTACAAAGTTACCAAGACAACTTCCACATCTTCATCACCCTAAGTCAGCATGGCCACTCCCTCCTCACCCTACACCTGTGATCAGGGTGATCGCCTCCTCCTCACCCAAAGACCGTCACCGTGGTGACTGCTTCCTCGGAACTCATCCCCACGGCGACGGCGTCCTCCTACAACGTCACCATTGCGGCCGTCTCTGCCCTGCCGTCGCCTTCGTTCGCCGAGGCCGCAGTTGCCGGGATGAACTCCTTAACGATGTCCTCATCATCCTCGTCATCGCTAACGAGCGCGTTCGTCGCCGAGTGGTACGACGCCGACGACACGTTGGACGAGCGGCTCGGCGAGCCGCGTCGTGGCGCTGTGTTGTACTTCTGGTTGACTGGCTTCACGGTGACGATGAGGTTCTGGCTGTTGGCGACCATCATGTCGGTCACCTGGTCGAGCGTCTTGCCCGCGACCTCGATGCCGTTCACCTCGAGTACCTCATCGTTGACGGCGAGCAGGCCCGTGCTCTCAGCGAGCCCACCGGGCACGAGCCGCGAGATGAAGATGCCGGGCAGCTTCTCGAGTCCGCGCGGCGTCACGCGCACGCTGATGCCGTCGCGGATGTAGAAGCCGAGCGGCTTGTCGGAGCCGTGCTTGATGAGGCGCACGCGCCGGTGCGTCTCCGGCACGACGTCGACGTCGATGATCGCCGACACGCGGCGAAAATCCTCGGGCTGCCCGATGACGATCGCCGGGCGGCGCACCGCGGCGGGGGCGCCACCGACGAGCGACGTCAGCTTGCCGCCGCGGCGCGTGACATTGCCGTAGCCCGTCACGATGCCCATGTCCTCACCTGCATAGCGACAGGGAGCGTTATTATTATCCACTCGAGTTTATGTCGCGTACATCCGCTAATTTGAGGAGGTTTAGCTGTGGAGTGAGAGCAAGGTGCTACGTTATCACATGCCGGGAAGTGAGAGGCATGTTTACATTAACATTATCCACGCAAGCTCAATTTTAACGTTGAGTTTACATACTTACGTCATGGATTCTCTGTGTTAAAATACTTGAATGTACTGTCCATATATGCATTTCCCCAGCTTCCTATCTCGTTGTCAACAGTCAATATAATTTACTTCATCCACACATACACCCATGCCCTTCCTACCTGCTGTGTGAGAGATATTCCAACGACTGCTTACCCTTTCTTTGCACGAGCAGTTTGAGCAGCGCCTTTGATCGTTCAAACGCCTTGCGGTAGTTCTCATCGTTGTTTATTGGCAGCAAGTCACCGTGTATCGGGTCTGTGTAGCAGACAGTGAAAGGAATCTCCTTGAGGCAGTGCAGCCGTTCGACACGCTTGTGAAAGCCCTCGTATGTCGTCAGCCGGCTCTTGTCAATGGAAAATCTTCTGAACTCGGCATCAAACTACAAATGAAAAAAAGCACAATTACAGGGAGGTCAGTTTCTGCTTTAGGATTCAGGATTTTACTGATGCACTAAGAAATAAGTTGGGATTAGGGTCAGGCTGGTGTTAGGGATTGGATGACGATGATGGTTTGCAGTGTTGTAGGCCTCCGAGACCGTTTTCCTTGGTCTCGGTCTCGGTCTCGGTCTTGGCCTCAGAGTGCAACGACTCGAACTCTGACTCGAGGACTCGGGTCAAGGTCGAGTCGAGGCCACTACATACATAGTACACAACTGTACATATTGTAACACGCAGTTTACAAGAATTTAAAACTAAAACTCCTAGGTTTTCTAGATACACGGCCTAATCTTGTAACGTTTTCAATGGCTCGATTAAGATTCTTGTCCCTTTGGTTTGAATCTGCTGTCACTTCGTCCCTTTGCGCTTTTTCTACGACTTCTTTCTCTTCTTCTACCACTTCGAAGGTACTAGCACTCTCTCATTTGGTTCAACAAGCCGTGTCATTCTCGTAAAACACAAATGGATCCGTTACTTTGACACATTTCGTATGACTCGTGTCTCTGTGTTTTCGGCTGACTATACACTTTCGAATGTCTACGATGCACTGTTGCGATTTTTTCCTTTTTTTCCGATTTTTTCTCTTTTTCCGTGATTTTTTCCCTTTTTCCGATTTTTTCCTTTTTTTTTATATCAAAACTGGACTCGGACTCGGACTCGGACTCGGGTGGTGCGGACTCGGACTCGGACTCAGGTGGCGCGGACTCGGACTCGGACTCGGGGGGTGCGGACTCGACTACAACACATTGGTTTGTTCATTTGTTGTTTGAAAGCTTCTTTTTTTTAAATAACTGTTGAACATAAGTTGATATAACACAAAATTTCTGACCCATACACCATGCTGCAAGTGGCAGCAATTTAATAATGCTAGTAGTACTACTAGGTTTGTGTAAATAACAATGCTTTGTACTAGTTCTCTTCATATTAGTGAGTCATTGCACCAAACAATGATTTGTTTTAAATTTAAGCCAAAATAAAGGTATCAGAAATTCACTTTTACGTGCATAATTTCACGGACTAATAATAGTATCGCATGTACTGTAGTACGTACGACCTGGCAGTACCTGACAATGTCAATGATTCCTGGGGGCCAAGCCATATCACCTGTGTTTAAGGATTCGACTACCGCAGCAGGTGGAGTTGGCATGTATGTTAAAAACAATATTAAATTTCTAATTAATGATAACATAAAAATAAATCATGAATGAAAGTGTCAATGACACTGTAGCTCATCACAAAAAAAGGTCACAAATGAGTGAGTAAGAAGAAGTCAGTTTTAATTGAGCAACCATCGATGTACATTATAGAAACGATTGCCATCTGTATATCGCAATAATAATTTATAAACCAAAATGAATCACAATTTGTGACCGTAGATGGCGCTATACCCGCTTTGTAGCGATGGCGTTTGAAATAAATAGGTTATGCTGCGTTCCGACATGTTTTGTAAACTTTACTCTAATATAGACGTTTTATCGGCAGGGTGGAGAGGAAATACCAATTTTGCATTAAAGATATTGTCAATGAAATCTTGTAAAACGAACCAGACGAGTGTGACACCACAGACTGTTTGTGTCTATATAATATGCTATATAATTGCCAAACCCTACCTAATTTGCATAATTTTTTTTTTAAATATCAAAACCCCTAGCCCTTATCCATTCACATACCAAAAATGAGCAAAATCATTTGAAGTAGTGGCAAGACTGAACTGACTAATGGCAATTCCCATTTTTGCCAAAAAATTGCCGTGGCTCGAAAGTACGTCGACTGGCGTGCTCCAAAATAGGACGTTTAATATGGGAGCATAGCAGTAACAACTATACCCAATTTCAAACATGTGGGCCAAACGGTTCCTGAGTTATCGTTGACCTTAGCGAAATGTTGACGGATGGACGGACGGACGTACGACGACCCATGGCAATAGCTCAGCTTGACGATGTAAAGGTGAGCTAAAAAATGCGAGGATTTATGGATTGAAATTGAATTACATCATAATCATGCAAAAACAGTCATTGGAGTAGTTTATCGACATCCCAACCATAATATTGGTAACTTCCAAGAAAAATTCCAGGAGACTTTGAACGAAATTGGTAACTCTAACATGAAATATTATCTTGATATTATATATGCGGAGACTTTAATATTAATCTTTTAAAACATTAATCCCATTTGCAAACAAGTGACTATTTAAACTTCTTATTTACTAATGAATGCGTACCACTTCATGGTTCATACAGAAGGGCTGAAAATTTTCCCAAGGACTTTTCAAGGACTTATCAAGGACATTTTATCGGACATTTTATCGGAATTCGTACACAGAACAAAACATACCTGGATTAATTTAATAATAACCCCATTCTTAATCACTGTCACCTCTAAAACTTACCTGGATTATATTAATAAACACTTCTAAACACTGTCACTTCTACAACATACCTTGATTTACTGACTGATTTTACTGACTGTAATTTGTGATCATCATCAGGGGTCGAAATTAGATTTTTATTATGGTATCCATTCGGGATACCAGGTATTGAAATCTGGTATCCCCCCCCCCAAAGATCTGGTATCCCATTTTTTGGATAGTAATTTCAACAATGTTGGTATCCAAAATCTTGAAATATGCAATTCAATAGCATTTGAAAATTATTAATATGTAATGTAATTATTATATAAAAACATGAAAACAGATTCACAGATATGCACAGACAAGTACACTGCAGACGTATTGACTAAACGCATTGTCTGGTTCACTTGATACAATGTATACACATCCCGATTTTGACGAATTTTTTTTTACTATCCCGGCGGGATACCAAGCATTGAAATCTGGTATCCAACACAAGAATCTACTATCCCGCGGATATCGGGATACCGCTAATTTCGACCCCTGAATCATTTAACTGTCTATCGTGTCTATAGCTTTTTAAGCTATTTTTATTGAGGTTTTGCACATTATTGATGGTACAAAATTTCTTTTTATTACAGGCAAGGATTCTTTCTACAAATTCAAGGACATTTTCATGAAATTTATAGACATTTTCATGAAATTCAAGGACTTTTCAAGCACAAAATCAACATTTACTAAATTCAAGTACTTTTCAAGGACTCCCCTCAAATTCAAGGACTTTTCAAGGACTGTGCGAACCATGCACTTATTACCAAACCTACAAGAATCACTAAATCATCTCATACACTTATTGATCACTTCTATGCAAACAATCTTTGTAATGAATTACATGACAATGACAATGACAATGACATTATCCCAGGAATACTGCTACACGACGTGTCTGACCACTTACCTATATTCATACTGATCAAAGCAGTAAACTATAAGCAGGCTAACAAGAAGGTTTGGATTAGAAACTTTACTAATTTCAACTTACAGCAATTTTTGAATGAACTAGGCCAGTCACTTCACAACCATGCAATTAGTAACCTGCCATGTAGTGACCAACCATCTACTCTGATTCAGGTATTTTCCCAAGTCATAGATAATCATGCTCCTTAAGGGCCGGACACACTAGGCGATTTTATCGGGCGATTAAATCGGGCGACTAAATCACCGGTGAAATCGCCTAGTGTGTCCAGTCAGTCGCCGCCGATTTAGTCGCCCGATTTAGCCGCCCGATTTAATCGCATAGATCAAAACGTTTTGATATTATCGGGCGATTATTTCAGTCGCCCGATAAAATCGCCTAGTGTGTCCGGGTCGGCGATTTAGTCGCCCGATTGTACAATTCATCAGCCAATCAGAGTTGTTCAATGATACTGACATAATAGCGATGTTTCATGTTTAGTATGTCATGTCATGTAATAGCGAGCGATGCACGCACGCACGTGTACGTGCACAGTGCACACGCACGCACGCACGCATGCACGCACGTGTACGTGCACACACACGCACGCACGTGTACGTGCACATACATGCACGCACGCACGCACGAGTACCTGCACACGCACGCACACATGCACACACGTGTACCTGCACACGCACACACGCACACACGCACACATGCACACACGTGTACCTGCACACGCACACACGGACGCACGCACGTGTACGTGCTGCGCACACACACGGACGCACGCACACTCATGCACACACGTGTACATGCACACGCACGCACGCATGCACGCACGTGTAAGTTCACACGCACGCACGCACGTGTACGTACACACGCACGCACACACTCATGCACGCACGTGTACATGCACACGCACGCACGCACGCACGTGTACGTGCACACACACGGACGCACGCACGCAGGGACGCACGTGTACATGCACACGCATGCACGCACGCACGCACGTGTACGTACACACGCACGCACGCACGTGTACGTTCACACGCACGCACACACTCATGCACGCACGTGTACATGCACACGCACGCACTCACGCACGCACGCACGTGTACGTGCACACGCACGCACGCATGCACGTGTACGTGCACACACACGGACGCACAAACGCACGTGTAAGTTCACACGCACGCACGCACGTGTACGTACACACGCACGCACACATGCACACACGTGTACCTGCACACGCACACACGCACACACGCACACATGCACACACGTGTACCTGCACACGCACGCACGCACGTCTACGTGCACAT